TTTAGTATTTCCAGATGGCCATCAGGGATTCATGGAATTACAATAGAGAGGGGATGTCAGAAGTTGTTTAAGCCATCTTCCTTAGCTCACCACACCTAGCCCCTCCAAGAGGAAGGAGTGTATTGGACGCAGAGAGTGCTCTGTTCTCCAAGAGAGGGAACTCCAAAGTCAGCATTTGGAATAAACCATTTTGTATAATGGTTGAGAGGAGCCATGGGCAGATGTGGCTCACCACAAGAGATAGCTGAAAGCATAAGGGTGGTGCCCAATCTTCCAAGTAGAGTCCAGTGTGAATTCTCAAGGTATACAAAGAGAACAGAAGGACAGACACCCTATGTAGCTATCTTACTGCAGAGGTTCTCCAAGTGCGGTTTACTTTGAGAGAGTACTACAGAGACCTGTTGGGACTCTGGGGCCTTTTTAAGGGGACTGTGAGGTGAAAACTATTCTCATAATACTACTAAGACATTGTTTGCCTTTTGCAATGTGTTCACGTGAACACTGATGGTGTGGAAACAAGGTGAGTATAACTACTGGAACTCAGTGCAGATCCAGGCAGTGGCCTTTAGTAGTCAAGTATATCAACAGTCAATGTAATCTTTACTGCCAGGAACAACCACCAAACACACCACCAAAAAACAACCATCAAAAAAGTTGGTTTTCCTTAGGAATGTCATTGATAAAACCATAGAATTATTAACTTTATTAAATCTCTGTACCTTTGAGTACACATCTTTTTATTATACTGTGTGACTAAATGGGAAGCATGTATAAAACACTATATACTGAAGTACCATGAACGCCTTGAATAAAAGCCCTTGTGTGATTGTTGGAGGTGCAAACTGGGCAGAAAACTACGGTTACTCAGACTTGAGGATCTGGCAGACATCTCAGAAATGAAGTGAGCCTGTCACTTCAAGGAACACAACTGACAGCATTTGCTGCCAATGATAAAATTCAAGCTTTCTGGCAAACTTAATGTGTCACTAATGAATTTTATAGCTTTCCAATGTATAAATCCTTTTCCAATGAGACTGGAAATGATGCTAATGAATGTGATTTTTGATATTGTATAATGAGATGTCTCAACATTTGGATTGTCTGCATAACTCAGTAAACCAATATTTTTCAAATGACCAATAAATGATGTAACAAAATCATTCAGTTGTAAAAGATCTAGTCAAAGGGAAGCAATGCATTTTAATGTAACAAAATACAAGTTCATTAGCATGGTTTAATATTCTATGTTACAATTATCTTTTTTTTAGAGATTTTATTTATTTATTTTTTTAGAGAGGGAAGGGAGGGAGAAAGAGAGAGAGAAACATCAATGTGTGGTTGCTGGGGGCCATGGCCTGCAACCCAGGCATGTGCCCTGACTGGGAATTGAACCTGCGATGCTTTGGTTCTCAGCCCGCACTCAATCCACTGAGCTACACCAGCCAGGGCTTATAATTTTCCTTTAAGAAAGTAGAGTAGTCCCCCCTTATCTGAGGTTTTGCTTTCCACCATTTCAGTTTCCTGAGGTCAATCGTGGTCTGAAAATATCAAATGAAAAATTCTAGAAACAAACAATTCATAAGTTTTAAAATCACACACCATTCTGAGTTGTGTGATGACATGCCCCACTGCCTTGCCCTGGAAGTAAATCATCCTTTGTCCAGTGTGTCCATGTGTATAGATTACGTGCCTGTTTGTCACTCAGCAGCTAGCTGTCTCTGTTACCAGGTGGACCTCACAGTATCCCAGTGTGCGTTCAGGTAATTCTTATTTTACTTCCAATGGCCACAAACCGTAAGAATACTGATGCTGGCAATTCACATATGCCAAACAGAAAGTATAAAGTGCTTTCTTTAAGTGAAAAGGTGAAAGTTTTTAACTTCATAAGGAAATGACAAAAAAAAAAACAAATAAGCACACAATCATATGCTGAGGTTGCTAAGATCTACTCTAAGAATGGATCTCTGTCAATGAAATTGTGAAGAAGAAAGACATTTATGCTAGTTTTGCTGTCCCACTTCAGATTACAAAGCTATGTCCACAGTGTGTGGTAAGTGCTGAGTTAAGCTGGAAAAAGCATTAAACTTTATCATAGGTATGTATCTATAGGAAAAACATAGTATAGCTAGGGTTCAGTACCATCTGTAGTTCCAGGCACCCACTGGGTGTCTTAGGACAGATCCCCAGCCGAGGGAGGACCACTGTGCCATTTGCAGAGTTTTGGTGTAGTATCAAAGGAGGTCATCTGAAAAGGTTGTTAAAATATTCTCTCCTTTTCTAATTACACATCTCTGTGAGATAGGATTTTCTTCATATATACTTCAACCAAAAAACACCCCTAAAACCACGACAGGTTGAATGCAGAGGCAAATATGAGAATCCATGTGTCTTCTGTTAAGCCAGATATTAAAGAGATTTGGAAAACTGTAAAACAGTGATGCTCTTTTCACTAAAATTCCTTTTTTCGGACAACAGTCATTTTCATAAATATGTTAACATGTAATAAGCTTATTATTGCTAATTCATTGTATGTTGCTTTTTAAAGTTAGGCAATATTTTTAAATGTCTGTTTAAATTTTTGATATGGTGAATATTGAGATATACAACCCACATAAACCATAGTATGCTGGAGTTCTCAATACATTTTAAGTGTGTAAAAGGGTCCTTGCAATGAAAAAGCTTGAGAACTGCTGCTCCAAGATACTTGCAGAGGAAGCATTGTTTTGGGTGAGTAATTAACATGGAGAGGCCAACTCCACATTTATTAGTTTGTACTATTGTGGAGAGACATTATGGCTTAATGGCAAGTTTTGGTTATCAAGACAAAATCATCCTCAGGGAGGCAAAAGGAAGGTCATCTATGACCTAAGATGGTAGAAATAACTTTAGAGAATATCACATTTTGAAAGTCCTCACAAATCTTCTGTGCCCTTCCAACTGGCTCCTGTCCCCCGAGTGTACAAAGCTGCCCCTTTCCTCCAAGGAGGGTCTAGCCCACACCCCCTGCTCAGGATTGGCCACTGTAACCAGATGTGCACCAGAAATCTGCCTCCCAGGTCAAAGCCAATGCCACTCTGAGTCCAACAATCAGGACACAGCACTTGGGAAGGCAACAGGCACTTCCAGGCACTGAGAATAAAAAACGAGTGTGTTGTGACTTTTGTCCTGGGGACTTTCTTTCTTTGATGGGGAAGAAAGTCTCCTGAAGAAATAATTACAGCATGATGTGATAAATGCTCTTCTGTACATAGTGACCAAGTTTTTCCAACCAAAAACTGACGCACTCTGACAGCTGACAATGGAGCCACCCTGAGGGATCTGGGACACACGTCTGCTATATTTGTTACGAGACTCCCAACAACTCCACAGAAATTCTGTGCAGATTTGCCCTTGGTTTATCCCAAAGACCCAGAAACAATGATTTGCACCTTTTTAAATTTATTTTTTTCATTCTGGGAAATAATGGTGTCAGAACAGAAAAGATCAAGTAGCTCATTAGAATTAGAAAAGATGAGTAATGGGCCCCTAACATTTTATTTCCTCTGGGCTGGTGGATGGGAGGCACTGGAGGGAATTTTTTCCTTCATACTTGTTCCAAGTGGTTTCCACCCCCAGGCAAAGAGCCCAAGTTTGTTCAAGCAGGTCTCCCACACCAGCTGAAGCAGATCAAGCTGAATCCCAGAGTCAGAAGAATGAACTATTAAGAGTCTTCTAAGATCCCAAGCCTTAATTACATGTGGGTAAAATTAAACAATAGGGCTCTTGACCTGCCAAGAAATGTCAGAGTGCCCTCTGGGTGGGCTGCTTTGGGACCGTGGAGGTTCTGGTCTGAACTGGGTATTCTGAAGTCCCAACCATGTAACCTCTGCTCCCCCTTCCTTTGGGGCTGACTCAAATCCCTCTTTTTAATCTCTTCCCCCCAGTCCCACTGTTCTTTCCCAGCTGTGGCAACTCCAAAGTGAAATGAACAAGAATAAATCACCGAACAGAAAAAGAGTGCTCAGTGCCACACACGGACAGCCTGCCACCCACAGTTAGAACGAGTGACACTGGTTCTTAAAGGCAATCCAAAGGAGAGGTGGGGCAAGGGGCCTGCCTGCAAACCCCTTTGAAAGCCTGGACCCACTACTTACATTTGACTGTGGGCAAATCCTGACATTTCTCTGATCACCAGTGAGCTCATGCACAAAAGCAGGTTATTTTTTGAGAATTAAATGACATAATGTATAAATGGCACTCAGTAAGTCCACTACTCATCATCATAATTTTTACATCTTTTTATGTGATCATTTGATTCGTGTCTGTCTCCCCACTAATCTGAGTTTTATGAGAACATCAGCTGAGTCCTTTTTTGTTCATTATATCTCTAGAGTTTTACACAGTGCCTGGCACACGCTAGATATTTGTTGAGACAATTGTATGATAAAAGTGAGTTGGCAGAGTCCCAGTTAAGGATCGACTCCAAAATAGCAAGTCTGGGGTCTCCTGACAGCTCTCATGGACCCGCACTGCTTATCTGGAGCATGGTGTCATGGAGGATTCTAAGGGGTTACCTGGAGTCAGTAAGGAAAGGGTGTGCCGGGAGACTACCAGTGCCTGTTGTGGTTAAAGATGTTGAATAGTTGTCGACCTTGGTCTGTGGCATCAAGAGCAGGTCCATTTGGCCAGCTATTTCTAGCACAAAGATGTGTATTGTATAATTTGTGGATAGAGCCATTTGAGGAGAGCTGAGGTTACCACATGTCTGACCTGAAAATAAGCAGCACAACTTCAAGATTATTTTTTAAAATCACAAATAAGAAAACACTTAGAACAATGCTACACAAGGAAGCTAGAAGCATTACCACTACCTTGATGAATTCACTTGCAGGAAACGTGCCTTTCATGAATCACTTGGCACGAGTGAGCAGACCTAACACAATTTAGATAGTGTGTCCCACGAGACAGACAGAACCTTGTAATGCGCTTTTCCCAACCCATAAAGTAGCTCCTCTACTCACGAGGATAATCCTTTGGGTGCGTCTTCTCAGACCAATTCCCATAAAATGTGAGTCTGTACTTGGCAGTTCCACAGGCGCAGCAGTCTAAGATTGGTTTGTCAGTCACCCCGTCAAATGTGGAATCTGAAACAGGAAGGAAAGGCACCAAGTCAGGAAGCCAATGTGGGTCTTGGTCTCCTCCTTAATGCTTGGGAATAAAAATATGAGGTGGAGTTTTCACTGACTGATAACACAGAGAAGCGGGTCAGTCTTCGGGCTATAAAGGATTTATATACCTCTAGGTACGGTAATTCTATTCTGTAAAAAAACAAAAATGAAAGTTTTTGCTCTAATTAAGTGAGGAGACTTATGGTGCCAATAAGGCAGAATATTTGGGATGGAGGTTATCTTGAGAAACCAGAGATACAATTGACTCAGTTAACCATTCTGGACCCCAGTTTCTTTCCCTGTCCCGTACTACAACACGATTATTCCACCAAAAATTTTTAATCCTCACCCAGGGATATGTTATATTGATTTTAGAGAGAAAAGTGTGTGTGTGGTGGGGGAGAGAGAGACATTGATGTGAGAGAGAAACATCACTTGGTTGCCTCCTGCATGCACCCCAACTGAGGTTCGAACTTGCAACCCAGGTATGTGCCCTGACCGGGAGTGAACCTGCAACCTTTCAGCATATGGGATGATGTTCTAACCAACTGAGCCACACGATCAGCATTTTCCATCAAATTTCAAGAGGAATATGCATATAGGCATTGTGTGTGTTCTAAGAAATATCCCCTGGGGCCAAATTGCCAGGACCAGAAGGAGCTGCTTTGAAGGAGAGCAGTGAGAACAGAAAGTCAGAGACAGAGGAATAAAGGACTGCTGAAAAAATGTTTTTTAAAAAGATATGCATGTATAGTCACAGTACTTTGTATCAAGCTTTCAGAAATTTTAATGGGAGTGGTGGGGGTTTGGAAATATGTTCCTAAATTCAGGTTTACTTCTGAGCACAGTGGTAGCCAGGAAAAACTTAAGAATCCCTCTCTGCCCCCGTTTTTAGCTGTGAATAGCCATAAGTGGGGAAAGAGAGATTACATGAATAAATTCAGGATACCCGACTGTCAAGCCCACATCCCTAACTGTGCACTGTTGCTTGTAGTCTGTTCTGCTCGTTATAAGACGAAAACAATGACTACAGCTGCAACTCGCTTCAACTGCTTCATCTTCTGTTCTTCTGGCTGTATTAACATAACTGTTCTTTTTTCCAAGTTGGACACTTATTCTTAAATATTATAGAAAGAACTGTAACAAAGAATACAAAACTCTTTTGAGTGTAAGGAAGAGCTTTTTACAAGTGTTCCATATGGAATTTACTGGGTTCGTTTGCTTTGAATATGCAAAATCAGTGATGGGGAGAAGAAGTGCATTCTAGGTTTTAGGATGGAGAAAAAAGGGACATGTTATTGTAATAAAAACTACACTGTATAGAGTTCTTCTATGTGCTGAGTCTTTTCCATATATTGGTAGGTTTGTCCTAGCAATCCTAGGAGGTAAGTACTTTAGTTAACATCATTTTACAGATCAGAAAACTGAGGCAGATTAGGTCACCAGTCCAAGGCTACAGGGTTAGTGAGTGGTGCAGGCAGAACTGGAGGTCCGGTCTTTCTGAGCCCAGGGCCCATGCTCTTAATCTCTGCATTACACCTGTCTAGGAGAGACCTTCTGCTGGATAGGTCTGCAGAAACACCAATGAGTAAATTTTTTTCTGTGTATTTCTCTTTTTGCTTTTTCAAATGAAGAATGGTTCATTTAGAAAATTATCTCCCTGCACAGCTCCAGGATTTCTAAACAGCCCTAAAGAAGAGGTCTGAAACCACCCAAAATAGAAATCATTGTGTGGCTCCTCTTTGTACACTAGGAAGAGGCCAGAGCATCGTCTGTGCGTAGGAGCAGGCTCCCCACTGCCTTATGCACAGGAAACCACGTCTGATTCCTGTGTGAGCCACTTTGATAGTTAAGGGACAAGCCCTGTTGAATATATTTTAGGAAAGGCAGGGTAGATCAATAACTCCTGAAGTTTTTTTGTCTTTTACATTTCCATTATGACCAACTATGTTGTGAATAAATGAAATCAGTTTTGAAAAAGGGATTCAGAGCTCAGAGATACATGCTGGGGTTTCGATTGTTAACCACCAGGCAGCGTCAAATGAGACAGCGGTGTCTCAGAGAACCAAACTTAGGCAAATTGGTAAGTTTACCTTAGCAAAAGGTCTCTCAGGTATAGGTGGTAAACTTAAGATGTATCCAGGAGTTCAAAGGGATACATTTATAATAAATCCTTTGGCCTTCCAACAGAAAATAAGCTTCCACTTAAAAAAAATAAATGTCTAAGTTTGAAATTAGAAACAGCCATACTGTTTCCTAGTGAGGAAAAGCCGATTGAGAGTGAACCAGGTTTTCAAAGGGCAGTGATGACAAGCGTTCACTTCCCCCTTCTCCCAACTACAGCAGGGGCTGCCAGCTACAGGCAAGTCCAGGTCCTGCAGCATCTCCTGAGGTGCACTCTCCCCATTTCTGCTCTCAGTCCATCGGCTTCCTTTCCAGCTGTCATCCTTTAGGCTTCATTCTTCTTACCTTTTCTCATGACCTCTTCTCCCCCACACTCTCCTCTCTTCTCTGTTTTTTCCCTTCATCCTTCCCTCTCTTTGTCTCTTTCCCTTAATTGTTTGTGACTTGGTTTTAAAGTGAGCATGGGGATGCATGTGTTTATGATAGGTCACCTTTTTGAATATTTTATGTTTCTCATTTAATTGTAAGTAGCTTAATGTTTTATGTTTCTTCTTTGAAATAACGATTGCCATTGCTTTTGATCTGTGCAGTTCTTAATTTTTCCCCTATGCATTAACAGCTTCAACTGGGGGGAAATACTCATTTCTCTCTCCTCTCCCTTGATAGATTTGATTGGACTCACCACAGAAGCAAAGAATGTAAAGACCTTAGTGAAAGAGCTAGAGATAATTAAGTAGTCATACACATTTAAGAAAAATCCCTTTGCTCTGTGCTCATAAATTAAACACTTTCTTAATGTGATCTGCTTGCTAGCTGATGAATTTCCTCCTGGGTCTGCTGTCTCCAGGGATCATCCACAACTGTATTGAATGATATCCTATAGCCCAGTTCCTGCTGAGCCTCTCCCTACCCCCCATGAAGTTGCCATTAGAAAGTGGTGTTTTTATGCAGGTGTGTGCTTAGTCATTTTGACAGGACCTCTGCTTCAGAAATGATAACCAATAGAGATTTGCAGTGCCATTTTATTGACACTGTACCTGCAGGATTTTAGCATATTCATAGCTTAGACAAGGATTAAGGCTTCGGAAAGTACACTGAGTTGAGGATTGTTATCAGTACATGGGAGTGTCAGTGAAGTATCTCCTGAGAAGCCTCAAATCTGGGAAATAAGGCTGTTTTCTGATAGTCAGACTACCAAAGCCATACCCCAGTGGGTGTGAACTAAGAGGTGGCCTATAAATGTGTGACCCAGAAACCCCACGACTCTGGCCCACAGGCCCTCACTGTCATTTCACGGAAGCCAGGGCAGGAATGGGAATGCCCTTTGAGAACCAAAAGACTCAACAGCTGAGATGTTCTCTGTTTGGAGAAAAGTGGGGGCGAACTTGTGCACAGTGAAACACAGGAAAGGAAAGCCCCAAGAGCCACATGTTTTGATGCCTGCCTGGAAGCCAACTAGGGCCCTGACCCATAGGTTCTAGCTCTCTGGCCCCTATGGCAGGTATGGTCCTAATGCAGGGTATCTGACCTCCCCCCTTTTGTTCTTCCCATGCTCACTGTGCACCACCACCACCCCCACCAAATAGAACCTAATTTCTATTCTAGTTCATCTATAGGGAAACCTATGCTTTACTATGCTTTGATCTAACAAAGGCAACAGTTCACTCTACTGAATTGGGATGTAGTCCCTTAGATAAAAGGAAGTGGTTAAGGGCATTGGCTCTTAGATTCAAACCCTGCCCTCTACCACTAGCTGTGTGATGCTGAGCAAGCCATTTAAACTTTTCCTGTCTGAGCCATCTATGAAATAGGGATGATGTAATTAATAGTTTTTACCAAATAGGGTTGTATAGATTACTCTAAGGATGTGGAGTGCTTAGAATAGTGCATGAGATGTAGCAAGCACTCAAAAAAATAGTACCTCGTATAATTTTCCCAGAAGACTTTTATCAACCTTTTTCTTAGTAGTTTATGACTTGCTAGAATTAGAAAGGATTAGTTCTTCTCAAAATGCTAATTACTTTAAATGCAAATAAAATCCTGCAAAAATGAATAGAAATGAGATAAAGATGTATAATTATAGAACATTTTCTATTTTTATTTAGTTCCTTAATGACTTCTAAACACATTCAGATGTTTAAGGTCTTAATTTTTTACAGTAGATTAACAAACAAGCTCTCAGATATAGATAACAATAACTAATACTTATATATAGTGTTTACTATGTGCCAAGGAAGCATGACACTATTTTACATAAATTAAGTTGGATGGTTAGGAGGAGCAGAGGCAGGCTTTAACACAGGTTGGATCTGAATGCAGTCCTCTCCGCTCTGACCTCTCCAGTTTACTTGGTCTGCATGGGCTTTGTTAGACTGCTTTCAACCCATGGAAAGGCTGATGATAAGCTTGCAGATCTAAGGACCAGATACTTGAATGTGGTGAAATCACAAGGTCAGTGCTCTGTTGGCAACCCCATCTCCTTGGAGAAGATCCCCCATATTGGCGGGGTGCCACACAAATTCCTGCTGGTGGTTATTCTGGAAAACCATTAAAAACTTCCTAAAGGTACACAATTGTGCATTCCTTAATTAAGTCCTGTGAATTATTCCAAGGAACCTCTTCAGAATAATCACTGTTTCACAAAAATAAAAGACGACACCAATATAAGGTACATTATCTCCTACCCAGGGAATCAAGCTGGGTAATTAGAGCTTAAGGCAGATCCAATTATCCAGAGCACACAGCCAAATTAAAAATTGGAGCTACGTGAGGAAGAAGGACTGGAGGAACTCAGAAAGCCCAATCATCTTTATTCCTGAGGCCAGATGTTTGGACTGAATGAGCCACCTTCAGCTTCTGTGGCCCTCTGCCGCCCGCATGTTCTTACCTTGTTCACAAAGTTTCTTGGTCAGAGAGCCCTCATCCTGAAAATAAATGATGCGTTTCTGTACGATGCTGGCCCTGTGAGGAAAGAAGACACAAGTGTAGTGAGTGATGAGGCAGGCAGATTTGGGGGTTGTCGGTACTTTGTTTGGCCACCCATTGCTGTGCGGCTTTGGGTGAGTCACCTCAACTCTCTATGCCTCAGTTTCTTCATTGGAAAATTGACACCATTATATCCCTACCGCTGCCCTGGCTGGTGTGGCTCAGTGGATTGAGCACCAGCCTGTGAACCAAAAGGTCACTGGCTGGATTCCTAATCAGGGCACATGCCTAGGTTGTGGCCCAGGTTCCAGATGGGGGCATGCAAGAGGCAACCAACTGATTTTTCTCTCCCTCCCTTTCTCTCTCCCTTACCCTTTCTCTGAAAATAAATAAAATCTTTAAAAAAAATAATACCTACCCCATGGGATTGCTATGAGAACTAAATAAGAAAATACATTAAGAGCTTAGCAACAACCTAGAAACCACTCAATAAATATTAGTAATTGTGTCGGTGGTGTTGGTGCTAATATTAAGGTAAGAAAGTGAATTAACAGCATCTTCAATAACTTTTCTCAATGGTTCATTTTACTCTAGTTTTATATAAACTATTGAGAACATTTGTAGATCAACCAAATTCAAATCAGAGAAGCATGTCAAATCCTCTTCCTGAAGGGGAAAAAGGGAATTTAAAATATACATTTTGATTTGTTCTGAAAATGTCATTCTATATCTTTCCTGAAAGTCCAGTCAAAACTGTCTCCTGCATTCTGAACAAAGACAACTCAGCTGTTATATCTCTCTCTTAAACATGCCAAACACAGGTTCTTAGAATCTGGAAAGAATGTTTTGAGGTTGAAAAATGACTTACTTTTAGCCAGCACATATTTTCTCGCTAATTAGGATCACACAGACATTCTACTTCTCCTTTAACCCACCCTGCTACTTATTTTTAGCTGGCTGTGCGAAAGTTGAATCCCAAAACCCAGTGTTCCAGTAATTTAAAAGTCTACTACACTTAACGCTGAGATGGTGCCAATGGATCTCCAGCCCTTTCTGCTGATTTTCTTTAGCAACGCTATTCAATCAAAAGGTAATTTTTGCTTCAAGTTACCCTATTAAGCAGATAAAGGGAGCCCTTGACTCCATCCCAGCTGACTACACTGAACGAGTGAAAGAGTCACACAATTTGCCCTGTGTCACACGATCTCACACGCAGGAATGGGGCCAAGTGTGCACAGATTTGCCGAGTACAGAGGCAGTTTTCTCAATGGTCTGGGTCTAGGCCAAGATGACTTTCCAAAGAAATGTCTACTCTGCACCCTGTCTTGCACAAAAGGATAAAATTCAGACCAGTCTACATATGTCTTTTATAGTTTTTCCCCACCCAGGGGAGACAACATGTTGAAATAAATGAATGAAATATACTTCCTGTCAACACAAAGCTACTTTGATCATTTACGATGATCATTCTGTTGACCATCAAGCAGAATGTTTCCTCGGGCCAAGAGAACACTCTTGAGAACACTGACTCTCACCCCGAAGCCAGATAATAAAGCCTTTTATTAGTCAGAGTATCCCACGGTGCTTTTCAGACTGTTTCCCACCGAGAAGGGCCTCAGGGACCCTTGTGGAAGGCAAGGAAAAGAAGGTCTAGTGGGAAGTATTCCAGGCCCCACATTCTTGCTTCAACTAAAGGCTCTATCCTCATTTCAGCCAAAGCAGCCTTCTTCCCCTTCTGCATTCTTGTTGTATTTACTAGTACATTTTCAGCAAGTAGTTGTTGGAGGCCTACTTAGTGGCCAGACACTGGCCAGGGATATTGTCATGAACAAGACAGATGGGGCCCCTTTCCATTCTCAAAGTTCACAGTACAGTGCAAGGGAAAGCATCAAACAACTGAATCCTCACCTACTCATTTAACACAACTGTGATTAAGTGTTGAATGGAGAAATCCACAGGATATGGGGGAGTATAACATGGGGGGTCCTGACCAAGCTGGGAAAGGATCCCCCCAGAAAAGATGGCTAAACATAGATTTGAAAGAGAAGAAGCTAACTAGGCAAGTGGGAGGGTGAAGCAAGGGAGAGGGCCTTCCTTATAAAATCTTTGAAGTGGGGGAGGGTCAGGGCTCATTGGAGAACCTACAAATGGTGAGCCAGGGAGGTGGTGAGAGAGCCGGAGAGGAGGCAGAACCACATCACTCTGAACCTGCAAGGAGATGGTCTTTTACTCCAAGCTCGATGAGATAGCTTTGAAGAGTGTGGCCCGAGGAGTGAGATGATCAGATTTGCTCTTCTGAAAAAGCTCTTGGGCCATAGAGTAAAAACAGGTTGGTGTGTGGTTGCAGTACACAGAGCTCCCGCGCCACTCAAACTTTGTTTCAATAAAATGCTCTTGCGGAAATAGCTTGAAAACCCTGCTGTATAGGATAAAATACAAACTTACTATGGTTTCATTTATTGCTATCTGGTGCCATGCTCCCTGTGATGCAGACTTTGAGAAGTTTATGCCCCTTACCCAGACTCCTCTTCCACTCCACCAGGCCCTTGTCTGTGCTGTTTCCTTTTCCAGAAGCTCCCAAAGCCTGCCTTTGCTAGTGTCTATGACAAATATCTTGGATTTTCTTCCTCCTGCTATAAATACGAGAACAATGGCAAAGCCAATGATTTAAAAGCATGATCACATTATGAACAATTAAATCATCCCTAAATTTTCCAAAATTAAGATTGTAAAAATTTGGGAGAGCAGAGATAGAAACCATGTATTTCCTAGAAGATGCTTCAGTTTCCCTCATCCCTTGTTTTCCAAAGTCTCAGGAGGCTCACTTTCTCGTTTTGATAATAGTTGTTATTTCCGCACCCTTGCACTGTGCCTGCCAGTTCCTGCATTGTGGAGGCCCTCACACACATTATCTCCTGTGCGTATATGCATTACATCTAACACAGGTCCTCAGATTCCTCATCCAAGACTCTGGGGCTGGGTGTGTTTTTGAATTAATTTTTCAGAAACAATTAATTTCCCCCAAATTAAACACATCAATATTCTGCAGCAAAATGTAAGAATATTTACACTAAGAGGGTAAATAAAACTATAACTAGCTCCATGTCATTTCAGGTCAAGCTAGGCAAACTTAGAAAAATGCTATTGTTTTCAGAGGGATTAAGATGAGGGCTTATTTTCCAGAGGAGAATGACTGAGATGCAGGAAGGTTCAAGTTACATGCCCAAGGTTTTGAAGTTCCTCTGTCTGCCTCCAAAGTCCGTGGTTTGTCTTCTGCTCAGAGTGGTTGTAAGGATTAAAGGTCAGGTATAAAAAATACAATTGCCCTGTGAGGTGAGCATTATTATGAAATGTAACCCTGATAAATTTTCCTTGGATCAGCTCTTGGAACACACTGTGGAGAACTGAGATTTGGGTGGGTCTGCCTGGAGCCTGGGTCGTGATCACCAGGAAAAGCCAGAGCAGACATCTCCATGTGGCTGGCCAGCCCTCTGCGTCATGTCCTTTGGATTTCAAACTCTGTGCAGATCAAACGTGGGACACAAGGCTTATTCCAATCTGCCCTCATCCCTATCCAATCCTGCTTGAGCACTCTGTCCAAGCCATGTCCTATACCTGTGTTCAGGGTCTTATACGTCTGGGCCTCTGTCCATGGGACCTCTTTAGTCCTTCCTCATGACTCCTCAGCACCACGCACACACATGCACACACACACAGTTCAGTTACCTAACTCATACTGAACTAAGATGGTACTTCCTTCAGGTGATTCCTTGGCCAGGTGCTCTTCCTACGAGAACCACAGCCACAGCCTGCTGGGTTTCTCCTACCACAGCACTGATTAGCCTATATTGTAATTGCCTGTTTACTCTTCTATCTCCTGTGCTAGGTTATTCGATTTTGAGAGCAGGAACTGTATCTTATTTACTTCTATAGACATTACTAATGTCACTGTGGTACTGGGAGAAGAAACAGCGTTTGGAGGAAAAGGAGAGAATTTGAGATTGAACTATAGGTTATGAAGGTGGTGTCTAGGGGTCAGTTTGACTTGGGGAACTGTAAGGAGAGATGTGAGGGGTGGAGAGTGTGGAAATGGAGGTCACTGAGGCAGAAGTAAAAGTTAAAGCTTTCAGAGTGGCTGATGTCATCCAGGGAAAGTGAACTAAGGAAGAAGTCAAGCTGAGCCCAGAACTCTGAAGAAGACCAACATTCACCTACCGATATGACAACAGAGACCAAGATTTTGATACTCTTAGTTGCAGAAGATATTTCTTTTTACTCCTCATTTGGTCAACTCCTGAGAGACTTTTATATTCTGCAAAAATGCATTTCACTTGAAGTCTGTTTGCATCAAAGTATAAAACTCAGCTGAGATTTATAAATCATATTATTGTTCAGGAGAATAATAGCTTTACAAGATGAGAAAGCTGTTAGTAAGAATTCCCTCAGCGTTTCAAAATGACAAATTTCTCCCATTCTCTGTTGCAATTTGGCAGTCCTGTTGCATAGCATTTATATACTGATCTACTGAATGCTCTCTTATCATGAAAGAAAGTGTTAAGGAAATCTAAATTAAATTTCTCAGTGTGTTAGCTTCTCAAACTTTGGAATATTGAAATTCTAAAGAACTTAATCATTTCAAAATTTCCTTTTAAACCTGAAGTAGAACATTTCCAGAAATGCCATCTTGAATCTCTTGGGTGCTTGGCCCTTTTCTGTCTGAATGGTTTACTTATTGGCTGTTCTTTTTCCTTGGGGAATTTGCCTGTTGGAGTGAAGTTAGAGTTTGCTAGGTTGTGGGTTTGCTGTCTAGTGCTGAAAGGGCCTGGGATCCCTACTCCTTCCAAAAATGGACAGGGAGACCTCAGGAGCTGGGTCACTGCTGTGTACACAGAATTCATGCAAAGGCCTGACTACATGCACATTGCAAAAAGTCAATATTCAGTATGTGGTAGCCATTATTGCTGCTGTTGTTAAATCACCAGCCCTTAACAAAGTGCCTAGTACATTAACGCATTTAATAAACAGCAGCTATTGTT